TCTGTGTGATTAATAATCTGTATGTAAATGGAATTAACCATTAAGAATGTGTTTAGGCACTAAAACAATGTGTGTTTAGGCAGTTGTGTTTCAGAGTGTGAGCTGCATGTCATGTGTATGATTGTCTTTTGGACATTTTGGTGATACTTTTCTCATTTTCTTCAACGTTTGCTGACTTGCGTAATGCTGAGCAAACAACAGAGCACAAAAGGCAGGCGGTCATGCTGTCCTGACTTCCCGCGCCTTAACTGCCAAACAGAGCACAGCGTTAGAAGATGTCAGGGAAGTAAGGGAAGACAAGACAAGCGATAAACAGAGAGGAAAATAAGTCAAAAAAACAACGAGCGGTAGAACAAGCTGCTTCTTTATTTAGCTGTCCACTTTAAGAAACACTGTCACTTTCTATCAAGTTCCACCGAATGCATCTCTTCCATTAATTGAGGATAAACACATTTGAAAACCCTTCTCTCTTCACTCTCTCTCTCTGTCTTCCTGCTAACAAAGCGCCAGCTCCCTTGCAGGGGATGAAGTCAAGTTTCGTATGGCTGGACTTGTCAAACTTAATCTAGTCAGATAAAAAACACCTTTGCTGGAGCAGAACAAGCTGCAATGCTCTCTGTTTACGGTCCTATAAACAAACTCCGGCTCAATTTCATCTCAACATTATGATGTCATTCAGTCCATCATCTAATATCTCCCACAATTTATAGTTGGACACTACTTTTAAAGAAGATGGTATTTACAAAGGTTCTGGGAGAATGAAATAAAGAAACACAACAGCAGCTAATTAACAAGGTTCTTAATAATATATCCATACTGTTACTTTACATCATTTGACCAACAACTTACATTTGTCTTAGTGAGAACTACTGACTTTACTCTCAAGGTCAGTGTATCATTTCTTAGTTCCTTATCCGAGTGGAAGTTCCTCACACAGACTATTTATTATGCTTGCCCTTGTAGTAGGCATTACAAGGTGATAATTGATTCTTTAGGCGAAGCAGAAAGCACGGATAACTCCATTAAGCATAACAGATACTACTGTAACTCAAGTGGAATATCAAAACCAGTCATGTTCCTCAACAGAGAATGTTTGTTAAGTATGTATGCTTCTGTGAAACAAGGGACCCTGATCTTAAGAGATGTCAAACAGTTTAGCCCTCTGAATTAGTTTAATGTATGTATGAGAGGATTACTTTAATATAAACAGTTCAAGCTGTATACAGTATGTTGCTTTCAAGTATGTGTTACCTGTTCCATACATTAACAGCGATATTCCTGTATCAGTTTCAGCATGTAAAGCCGTACAGTACTTCAGGTGGACTTGAAAAAAACAGAATGTCTTGTGCATTTATTCAGCTGGCTGACAGTTTTGTGTTTTACCATAAACACATGTGTCTCTTCTTGTCCAACCTACACATCCTGACATCTGACTGGCCATCTGCGACCTCTTCACCTTCCATGCTCGACTGCCTCCATATTGCGCGGACACCAGGAGCGACATTGCACACCGCTCCATTGGTTTTACAAGAGACACGTGGTAGGACCGGCCAAACTGCAGCACAATCAATTGGTTTTTAATGCTTTGAGTAGGCCCAAGAGCTCTTGAAGCTCGCATGCTTGGGTAATTTGACGTGATTCACTGAGTTGGTGACAGGCTGTGTGTGTGTAAGGGGCGGTCTAGTGTGAATGTAGCTCATAGTGGATATGAACGCGGGTCATAAACGGAGACAGATTGGTAGCTATGATCCAGTGACGGCGGTGACAGCTGGGGTTAGCAACTAGCAGCCGTTTGGTGACAGAGAGAGCCACTGGAACACAATGGGGACGAGGCCATGGGGGCGGAAATGGCCACATGGCTACTTCTGGCATGAAGGCATGATTAGATGTAGACCCCAGTAAAATGTGGCTACTGTGGCTGCTGCCAATGGCTCCAAAAGGGCCTCATGACATAAGGCTGAAAGATGGAGGGCCGTCAGACAGCAGTATGGGCTAGTTGGGAGTGACCAGAATGGACCACACATGGCACCATATTACAAAAACAGTGCACACACATATGCATCAACATGAGCAGATACATGAACATAGACAATGAGGCTTTGTACGTCTGGATGTGACAGACGACAGACCATAACAACATGTGACAAGAGAGTCTGAGAAGGTGCCAGAAGATGTTGTGCTCATGTAAATAAACACACACATTGGTGTGGTAGATGTTAGGACACAGATATATACTAATGTGCATGACACAGGTATACAGACACCTTTGCACATGATGAGAAGTTCAACTTTTGGAAATCTCTGTCATTCTTGTTGTGTTTCTTGTTATAATGCCTAACACACATGGCATTGTCACTTTCACAGGAAGACTCAGATGCAAAAATGGTTAGCTTGTTAGCAAACAAACTTAAATTCTGTGTGAAATAAGAATCATCCAGAAAGTGCAGCACTTGAAACGTAACAGGCAGCGGCAGGGAAGAGAAGGATGGGTGAGTTATTCGTAGAGCGGGTGTTCGCGTGGCTGAAAAGCAAAGAGTGGCTTGGAGCGCAGCTGTATATAAATGTGTGTGTATGTGTGTGTGTGTGTGTGTGTGTGTGTGTGTGTGTGTGTGTGTGTGTGTGTCTCTAGAGCTGGTGGCCTGCTGCGACCAGATTACATGTTCACTGTCCCACAGCGGGAGTGGAAGGGAGATGGGGAGGACTGAGTGGAAAATGGCCACAGCGCGGAGCCACGGCTGGTTGAGTACTCCTTTAGTGAGTGAGTGCTGGACCATCAGCTGTGGTGTCCAGTGCTTCCCAATGTGTTAAATCGCAAGCAGTTGTCTTTTGACTCAGGCTAACAATGCTATTCACACTTTCATGGTTGCTTAATGTAATCATCATTTTTAACGAAAGTAGCAGAAGCAGCAAGCTAACAGAAATTACAGGAAAATATGAGTACAGTAAATTGTATTTTGGGGATTTGCACCATAGGAAAAATGTCCTTTTAGGTTTATTCCATCCTACAACAAAAACGCTGATTAACGGCTAATGCTCACACAATTAGTTTATTTAAAATAAGACATAACATGTATATTTTTCCCAAATAAAATTTGAATTGGTCATATAGACAATGTATTTATATCATATTATAATATAATTATTATAATTATTTATATCATCATGAGGCTTTCAGATTGATATTTGTGAACTATATGCTGTGGGAAAGTTTTTTAGCATCTAAAGACAGATTCACCATATAACTTCTGTTTTCTACACAGCACTGCAGCAGATCATTCCCAAATTCAGAAGTCTGAATAGCATGGCATTCACTTTTCACCTGCAGGCATTTTCATTGAATCATTAGCAAAGAATAGTGAACTTTTATACAGCAGCACAAGTTAAATTATTGTGCTGTGTGGTTAATTAATGGTAACTTTAGTAAAATGACTCATAACTCACGTTACATTTAGGGTAACAAAGATTTGTTTCCAGCTGGGAGGAGACTAAGGGGCAGACCCAGGACCAGTTGGAAGGATTATAGTGCCTTGGAATCCCCCAGTCAGAGCTGGTTGATGTGGCCAGGGGAAAGGGAAGTTTGGGGCCCTCTATACTGGAACTGCTACCTCTGCGACCGACTCGGAAAAGCGGTCGAGGATGGATGGATGTTTCTTTTTAAATAACTTTCTGCATTAGTAAAATGATACAACATGTAGAATATTCTTATTATACTGTGTAGTGTACTATAATACACTTCATAGTATTACAGCACACTTCTGACTTCTCTTCTGTATGTAATAGCAATCTATATTGTACTGCAGGGCACTGTACTGTAGCAAACTTTCATTAGGATGTGTCTTTTGCTCATTTTTGAATATGAAACACCAAACCTGTTTGGCCATTGTAAAGAATCATATTCATGAGCCCTTGCCTGGTTCAGAGCAATGGAGAATGAATTACACTGAATGTTTTTTCAGGGCCAAGAAAAGCCGCAAGCAAACATTTGAGCCTCTGGCACAGTGATTAGAAACCTTTGAGCAACAAACATGACTAACTAGGATCAGCAAAAGCTCAACATAAAAACCATTCCATAAATCACTTAAGTGTTTGGTTGCTACAAAATAAGCAAATCTGGGATGTATTCCATACAGTGCTGTTGGTATGTTACAAAAAAACATGACAAAGACCAGTCTATTAACATTCTGAAATATACAAATTGTTGTCTGGCTTAAAACTGAAATACCCATCACATTTCAGTACAAGTAGTAACATATGACTTTACCAGAGAAGAAAATAAAATACAAAAAAACCCTGTGTGGATATTCTTCACACACTGGGTGACCTAAAAAAACAACATTTTTGGACTCTCAGGAAACCAATGTTCTGTACTCTTATACAGGGTTGACTGAATACCATTGGAAGTAATATAACTACCTCAATTCTACTGTTGCAGACTGTGCTGCCAGTGAAGCAAATCTAATTAATAATATGTCTTTCCCTGTCTGCAGTCTAGACTGGTAACCCAGAGCAACAGTACACAGCCCGTCTGTATTGTGCTGTGGTCTGGTAAATGATGCTGAATCGCTTCCTGGTACATCCAACACCTATAAACTCCCAACCTTGGTATACTTTGGAAAACATCAAAATGGGGTAATGTGCATTCATGGAGCGGTGCACTATAAACTAATTGCAGGACAAAAGTAGTGATTTAGCTATAAGACGTTTATTTTATGTGGTGCTGTAATTCTGTGTGCATAAGGAATGTGGTTTTCCAGACATAATCTATCTGATCAGCAGTATTTCTCTAAATGTAAAAATATGTTCCATGTTGGAATCTATTTTCAGCAGGAACATGAAATAAACTTCTTTTAACGAGTTCCTTCTAAAGCCTTTCAACAACTATGGAAGAAAACACTGCGCAAAAAGAAGAAACTAAAGCCAAACCAAACATTTTGTAACCAAGCCTTGGCAACAATGGAGAGTCAGGGGCAGTTACTGCAGGTGAATGGGAGAGTACTTACTGTAGGTTGCATAACATATTGTTGATGAGGCATCCATGACGTACTCTGGACCTGAAGAGAAACACATAAAATGTTAAATGACGCCGACAGTATACATTTTACACAATCTGAAACAAATCCAAGTATTGTCCCACATAAAGCAATGAACGCTGTTGAAATATTCACAATATGTTCAAATATTCCCGAGTCTGGAGGTTTTAAAGATGATTGCATTGGTTTTAATGCACCAAAACGGCTGAACTTTACACAGATTAAGTTTTACCAAAGAAGTCTGGAGGCAGCAAATCTCCCTCATGCCTTCTCATTATTGCCAACAGTCTGACTTGAGCATGAAGCCCATACAGTAAATGAGTTTCCTTCTCTATTATAATAATAATTCTAAAGCTGTACCCAGTGCTGTTGCAACTGGGGTGAAACATTGTGCAACTTTGAGGGACAGGCAGCTAGGGAGAACCATACAAAATCAGGCAGGAATATTTAAAATAATGGATAGTGATGGATAGAATGTTTTTGTGGATCCTAAGTCAGAGGTACGTCCAGCTATAACCAAGAGATAACATATACAGACATGCATAATCACAAATGTGCACGACAAAGTAAAACAGTGACAGAGACAATGATCAAGAGACTCGGGGAATGGAGGAACAAACAGAGCTTTTAGATGTGTTGGAGAGAGGAATTAGACAGCTTGTAGCAGACAAACACACAGGCTGGCCACTGATCCTGGTAAAATGATTAGATTAAACAAAGACAAACATGAGATAATCTGCCTTAAGAGCCACCAATCCTCTGTGCCAACCCAAATGCGTGATTTGGATCCACACATAAATAAGCTTGATATTCCATAACATGAAGCCAAGTCTGTTTGTTTGTTCATGGCGGTATTTGTTCTCCCCAGCTGAACGGGACAGCAGAGAGACACAGAGAAAGCTTATCTTTAATCACTTATCTTCATGCAAGACACTGCATGACCCTCATGTGATTTGTTTAATAGAGAGACTTAGGCGCTTTAGTCAGACTTAAGGCCCCTAAATTATACGTGATTTTGGGCTGTCCAAGATAAACGTTGAGACATGGTTCGTTGTAAATAAAAAACGGTGGTTTATATTAAAAAAATGGAGGACCAAATCCCACAGTGTGATTACGACACTGACCCTTGTTTGCATACCAACGAATCAGAAAAAAAAACCAGAATGACGCCGAATAAACTAGTGAGCTAGTGTAATGCTTAACACATATTGACTGTTTTTGGCTTACTCCAATGCAGAGCTATGGTATATTACAGATGTTTTGCACCATGTGAGATGCCTCAAAACTATTGTTTACAGTCTTACAGAGAATGTGAACCTGATTAAGATTGGACCCATCTTGCATTTCCATTCTCGATAGTTTTAAATTTAATGAATAGTTTGCATTGGTAGAACGCATAATAAGTAGCAGTAGACAATACCTGAATAGGAATGTACTACTGTTTGGTGCTGCTTCTTACTACAATTGATAACTTGGTATTTAAAATTGTTGTAGAGTAACAGAACTCTTGGAATTCAGAGTTGCACAAAATTATATTTTCCATTTTCTTCTTTGCTGCTAAAATGTTCGCTGTCATAACTTCTGCCTCCACCAATGCCAGAGTTTGATTGGAATGCATGATGTGGAGATCAGAGTATTTGGACTCATAGTTCCACTTCATTACATTTTTTCCACACAAGTTGACAGAACAACAGTGCATTGTGTGTCAAAGAGGCTCATGCTGCTGCCTGAGAAAGTGCAGCCTTCCTCTAAAATGGAAACATGGCCCAAATAAAAATAATAAATAATAAAAAATGTACCAGACAGCCGCAGGTAGAGTGCTATCCAGACCGTTTGAGATGAAAAATGCAGATATCAGAGATCCAGAAGACTTTGCTTCTGAGGACCCGTCTTGACTGACTTGGATGTACCCCAATGGGCCTAAAACAGATCTGATAATGTGACTTTTTTTGTTATTCTACATACAGTAACAACAGTTAGTCAAATACAGGTATTCTGTAGCTAAAGTAGGTTTAGTGTGAGTGAACGGTATAATGTTCCTGACCTAAGAAGCTCCCTACCTCTGGCTGAACTTCACAGATTGTGTTACCGTTTATGACAGCCTTTCGGTAAACAAGCCAAAAAGTATTTATCAGCCAGTTGGCCACCCACCCATCGAACCAGTTAGCTGGTTAGTGCGCCAGCCAGCCACACATCCAAGCAGCCAGCCACATATTTAGTCAGCCAGTGAGCCAGTGTGCAGAGCCAGTGATGTAAACCAGGCCACGGCTGGCGGCACTAGCTGAGATCTTGGTAGTGATCTGGCCCTGGCTGGCTCCTGTCATGTGGATCATCAAAGCATTTTTCCAGGAAACAAAGCCAATCATCATTCAAGCTCACCAGAGGCAGGCTTGAAAGAACACCAGAACATTGCAGTTGGCACGGGTCATTTGCAGATTTGATAAATCAATGCCACCAAGCAAGAAATATCCACTCAACATAAACATAAAAGAGGGAATGGCATATGCAGTCATTGCATATGCCATCTTGAGGTTTTCCTTACAAAAGGCAAATAGTTTCCATCATAAAAGGAAGCGATTTCCTTTTGTCTGGCATGTGTGGCTGCCTGGTTAGTCTTCTCCTTTTCTTATCCCTATGTCTCTTTGTACTTCAACAGAAGATGAAGGACTCACCTTCTTGCCGTGACTGGCTGAAGGGCAATATTACAGGAAGCGGTGGCAGAGCTGCCTGATATTGAAACTATGAGGATTAATATTCCTCAAAAGCCCGGCCATTGTTTTTGATAAATCAATTTGGGAAGCCTTTCCGAGAGCGGATTAGAGACGCGCCCTGGCCCACTTTTCTCCCTCCTCCTCTTCCCATTACCCCTCCACCACAGGTACTGGACCAGAGTTTTAATCAAGCGTGCCTCAAACACGGGCACAGCAACCTTCAGCAACACCCCTTCCTCTGCCCCCCTACCCGAGCCACCGCCATCACTACCACCCGCACTATCTGTCCTCCTCTCCGTAGTTGTCTGTCTCTCCATCTGTCCCCTTTATCCCCCCCATCTATCCTTCATCTCTTCTCTCTTGCTCACCTTCCTCGTCTGTCTGTCTCTGCATACCAAACAGAGCCGATGTTAAACGATAGTGTCTGAGCGAGAGGGCACAGTGGCAGTGCCTCTTGATGTTTAGATTTGGCAAAGGGATGCTGCGTGAAATGTGCGGTGACGGGAAAACGGTTAACGCTCTTGACATCTAACACAGTCAATTTTCACGTTCCTGTTCTGTTCGCTTTCATTACTCCACAGCCGTGAGTAATGCAGAGTTTCACTTTGGAAGAGAAAGGGATTGTATCCAAGTTATTACATTAATACAAAGATATAACTGCTTTATTGCGTTAGCAGCTGAGGGAGCACAAAAGAGGTCAGAAAACTGGGAGGGACACTAAAGTGTTGTTTTCGTTAGACACTTTCAGTCTTGGTGTGTGATTTTATTTTTCTACCCTGTCAGCTTTTCTTTTTTAAATCCCTTTTTTCTATTGCTTGTTTTCTGATGCCTGTTGTGTTTGCCGCCTACGGAACAGATGTCATCGAGCACAGCTGGAGCAGCGAAGAGAAGATGAGAGAACCTCACACTGTTTTGCAGCCCGCCCCCTCTCTTCCATCCCCTTACGCAAAGCAAACCCTCATATTAATTACACATACATGGGCAGCAATCTTCCAGTGCAGTGCATTATGGCGCACCTGATATGTGGAAACAGGGGAAGCAGCGATGAAGGGCGTGATGGAGGTCTGTGCAATCATGCGGTTGGTGGCGATGCTGTAAGGCGAGGAGTAGAACCTGAGGAGAGACAGAGGGAGAGAAAGAGGGGAAGTAGAAAGGAACGGAAGAGGACAAAGCAACGAGTTTGTCAAATTCCAAAATAAATGTATAGAACATAATGTCAACCACGCACGCACGCGCGTGCGCACACACACACACACACACACACACACACACACACACACACACACACACACACACGTCATCGTATAAAGAAGGAGATTGTCTGTTTTTTGGATTCTAGTATTAAGGCTACACTGTACCATGCCACCTGTAGACTGAGCTTGGGAAAAACTCAATGCATTTTAAGAAAGTAATGTTTGACATACGCAGCAGAGTATAGCGAGGGGGTCTTCTTACTTTACTTTATCTCACTGCAAGGTTTAGAGCATCCCAGTGTTGCTGTGATCCCCTGGGAGGCATACAGTAGTGGAGCGTCCAATGGTTTCTTCCACCTGATCTCAAGATCATATTACTGGCAGAGGATATCAGGCAATTTATACTAGACTTAACAGCCCCATATAAGATACAGATCAGACTGTGACGGTGCATATTGCTGTTTGAACTCAAGAGTTTCTTTTTGGAGCCCTGGAGACCCCATGCCCACTTTAACAGAACAACAAAAACATTATCACAGATAATGTTTTTACCAGTTTGGTAAATTATTGTCGATATTGGTGTTTTTGATATTTATAGTCTTTTTATGTGTCCCTACAAATCCCTTGAATGGAAAAAATCGATTTGATGAAATAATATATTTATTTCTCTCTTCGCAGTTTGATTTCATTTTCTGTATGTTAAAATAAGATACTTTTTTTTGCAGTTTTAAAGTTCATTTTGACACAAAGGCAGACAGGTTTGGGAAACCCTAAACAAGGAATACAAAAACAACAACTCTGAAAACAGTGAGACACTTAAATGGCTTTCAGAGTTTTGTTTTTCAAGGTGATTTCCTATTACATTTCTCAAAGTTATTGAAGTGACTGTTATTTTGTATATATTGATTGTTCTGCTTTTATTTATGTCTTAATGTGCGCATATATACAAATGTGTATGTTGATTGTGTAAATAAAAACATTTGTATACATATTTGTATATATTTTTGTTATTGTATTCGGGATTGTGGGAAACGGTATTTTAATCTCTCTGTCTGTACACACAATAAAGTTGACTTTGACTTGACTTTGAAATTAATCCTCTATGAAAGTGTATAGATAAATGTATTGAAATGCTAATGAAAACCTTTTTTTTTTTTTTATTCAGTCCCTCAATAGTATATATGTGGTAATTTGCATCATCATTTTATTTCAAATTTGCATATCCAATTAACACAGCGGGCCCACCACCCTCTGGGACTGATATTGGGGTCAGGTTCTAAGTGTGCAGACCCCTGGCATCGCAGACTTGGACAGGGTCTTAAAGTTTATGAGTGTCTGGTTTGAAGGTATCAGAATTGTTTTGCTGCTCCTTGCATGGGATGCTGCATTATTGACGCAACCTTTGGCACAGACTAAGGCGGTTTGAGTCCAATGTGAGGCCCCGGGTTGAGAGTCAGCTCCTCTGAGTCTGAGGCCCTGGAAAACGTTAAATTGCTACGTCAGGGTTGGAATTGAGTTGTCAGTAGTTGAGTTGTTGAGTAGTCAGGAGTTGAATTGAGCCAAAGGAGGGGTACAAGGAGATATAGGACTATAAGGTAAATTGGAGCGACAAATCATCAGGCAGGTTGGTTTGGTGTCCGAGTCAGTAGGACAAGCTTTACATTTACCAGTCAATCGCTCCCATCCTTACCTATGGCCCTGAACTATGGATAGCAACCAATAGAATGAGATTTCAGATACAAGCAGCCAAAATGAGTTTTCTCTTTAAGGTGGCTTGGGTCACTCTTAGAGATAGGGTAAGGCCCTAAACTGGGGAGAGCTCAGAGTAGAGCCACTAATCAAGATGCCTCCTGGACACCTTCCTTTGGGGGTTTTCTATATCTGGTAGGAGAACCCGGGTTAGACAGAGTACACTCTGGAGAAATTACCCTATATATCGACTCTGGCTTGGGAATACCTCGGAATTTCCATTAAGTGCTGCAAAACATTAGCTGGGAGCAGGGAGGTCTGGACCGCCTCACTTAGCCTGCTGCCACCAAGACTCAGCCTCGGATAAGCAGCAGAAAACGGATGGATGGATAATCCAATATGCATTTGAATTTTTATGTACCAGTAAGCACAGTCTGACAAATGTGGAGTGGTATTTCAGTTTGACAATTTAAGTTCAACTGCATTTTTATTTTCTACTTCGCATTAACATATGAATTTAATTGACAATAGCTTCTACAATCTTTGCTAGCTGAGTCTGTCTATTTTTCATTTTCTACATTGACTAAAAAAAAGACTACTCTTGCACTTTTTGCTATTTGATTCACCCTATTTCCTTTTTTCTGTAAAATGATCATTACGCTGAACTTTCCCAGCAGGTCTGTTGCTTAACACAAATGTCTGTGGCTGGCTGTGACCGACATTTACATGGCAGGCTGTGTGTAATGAGCAATGCCATTCATCACATATTTTGGTAAAGATCGACTGTCACTGGGGGATAAGTGGTTTAGGAAGCGGGGAATGAGGAGCTTCCTGTGAATGACTGAGGCCAGAGGGAGATAAAGGGGAGCCTCAACACTCCCCTTCCTGTCTCAGTACAGCAGGGAAAAATAAAACATGTTGCCCGGGTCATTTATTTCCACAGCACCATTAAGTCATGACATAAAGACCCAGAGACACACACACACACACACACACACACACACACACACACACACACACATAGAAGAAGACCCAAACACACGAGCACACTAAGCTACCCTTTGCTATTTCTTACCCTACCAATGAAAACCAATATTTGAAGTCCCCTTATAGATGTTCCTTATCAAACAGTAACAAAGTGCAGTCACTACATTCATCTTTATGTATGGCAGTATTATTGACTGGGGTGAAATGAGCAAATAGGTGAGTGTATTAAATGGTGCCAAGGATGGATTGACCGTCAAGCTCTTACCCATTCTGCATTGCAGCGGGATCATATGTTAACGCCATGCCAGTCTGAAAGAGAAGAAACAATAAACACGCAGGATTAATCACAAAATGAGAGATTAGGATCAGAGAAAAACATTCACTTGAAAACACTGAAAAAAGCTTTATACTCTTAATGTAAGGTGTGAAATACTAAAACCTGAACCAGAAATCATGTACACTATCTGTTATTTTATTGAGTCACACAATGTTAGTAGGTATTGGACATGTGCATGTGCATTGTACCGCATTCTGTCACTGTCACCTGTGTGTTACTTTGTGTCGGTGTGTTCAGATTGTCTCTGGGAACTCAGTCGATAGGTTCCTGCATCAATGTCAGCGCGATAATTCGCTGTACCTTTATTGTACTTGGGGAATAACGCAATTTATTCCCTAATTCTCTTTGTTCAAAAATAAATTCAATCAAATAAAAATCAACTCATTTTAAAATTGGAGAACTGACAAGTGACAAAGCCAATGCGGGGAAAAGCTTAGTCAATAGGACAAAGTGAATTGGTATTGAAGACGCGGCTTTTTCTATTTCAATCACGTACAGTCATGTATTTATGAATGAGAGGAAATGAAGAAATGCCCTTTGGAGAGAAAAGGGGAAAAACTGGAGAACTGAGTTATTTGTCTGCTGAGTGTGTGTGTGTGTGTGTGTGTGTGTGTGTGTGTGTGTGTGTGTGTGTGTGTGTGTGTGTGTGTGTGTGTGTGTGTGTGTGTGTATATAGGTGTATGTGTGTAAGTGTGTGTGAGGCCCTCTTAGAGTCCAGGAGAGAAACCTGTGTGCCGCGATCCGTCATCTGCATTCCTGAAGGTTCTCTCCCGGAGGAGAGCTAATCCGATTTCTTTTAACGCGAGGCTGCTGAGGACTGCAGATTTCATCAGCATACACTTACACACACTCCTTTTTCTTGCCCTTCCACTCTCTCACTCTGCTCTCCCCCCTCTCCTTTCTTCCTCCATCATCTTGTGTTCTCTTCCTTTCTCTCCTTGCCTTCCTCTCTTCATCCCTCATCTCTTAATCTACCCTCCTCCTGTCTTTCTGTACCTTGTGTGTGCCCTTGTACCTCCAGGGTTCTACCTACACTGAGCTTTAGCGTTAAGGGAATAGTGGCTCAGAGGAGCAGGGGGGGTCAGTGAGCCCGGACTAAACCCACAGCAATGAGCAAAAGCAGGGAATCTATACAGAATAAATACAGTAGTGATGAGTGGATGCATGTTTGAGTAGCTGTAGGCCTATGTGTTCAATTTCTGTAAGAGTGCACATGAAAAGCTAGTTAAAAAAGGCAAAGTATGCACAGTTAAAGCTAAATGAAGGGACATCAGCCCCTGTTTCTTCCACTTTATTAGTGTATTTTAACATTCAGTCCTTTTCTATGACTTTGCAAAGGTCTCTGTGTTTGTATTATTAAACCAGTTTTACACAGGACATCAAGACTGCATTATTGTGTGTTAGAGCGTGTGTTTGAATGCACGCTAATAGCAGAGGCAGACGTGGCCATCTGTCTGCTGAGGCTGATGTCTCCCCTAAGTGCTGCTCTTGGTTGCATGTGCTGATGAATTCCACAGCAGAGAAGCTTCTGACCGGAGACCCTGCTCGACCAATGACTGATCACTGATGCAGTCAGCCTTTGGCTCTGCTACCATGAGGAAGGAACAGACAGAGACAGTCTGTGTGTGTGTGTTTTTTATCTGAGCTTGATTGAAGACTGAAACAAATTGATACTGTACAGATCTCGTGAACAAAGCTTGGCCCTGAGAAAAGCTGCCATGGACAGGCCAGTCTTTTAATGAGAGAGAAGCTTTGCATGCTCATTTTGCATTTTAAATGAGGTCGTAATTGAGTTTTAGTCTTCACTTTATACAGTAAATAAATATGATGATCTAACAGAACATTTCCGCACGACGATTATGGATTTAAACATTTTGCGTAATTATACCCATAACAATACACATTATGCCAAAATGTTGTTTAATGCCGTCTGTATTCACACAGATAAGCAGCAGAGAATGACTCAATTGTTATTTATGTAGTCAATCATTAAGTCAAGTAATAAACATGAATAATGAGCTAGCATTAATTTATTTCATCTGTGCTCTTAGGTAAATAAAATGCATTTTGTCGTACAAATTCAAGAAAAAGGTGAATGGTTTTACTATATAAATAGAGCAGCTTTAAATAAAAAGGAAAATTGTGTGTGTAAATGTAAGCATCCATGTGTTCAAAATGCAGATCCTACAAAAGGGGGAAAAGGGTTGTGTAAGGACAGCCTATGTCAGGCAGCTGTAAGGACACCTCTGATGTATTCGTATGCTGGAAAACTGATCTGAGCCATCGTATCAATGTCCTTACAAACACACACGGTTACACACACACAGACCCACACCCTTCTTATATTTTTGCCTTCCATACATAGATTTCCGCTCACTTTATTTTCTCCCCGCCTAGTGGCCACACACACACACACGGACACACAGACACACACACGGACATCTGTCAGGCTTTCACACAGAGTGGAAAGCCGGATGTTTTTTTTCATCTTCACTCATTCCCCTAGAGTAGGTGCTTGAGAAGTGTGACTTTGAAAGTTTTTGTGTGTAGGAGTGTGTGTTGGTGAAAGGGAGCGAGGACGTGAAAAGAGAGAAGGAGAAAAGAATGAGCACCCATGGTGCTTGTCTGTCTGTGTGTGTGTGTGTGTGTGTGTGTGTGTGTGTGTGTGTGTGTGTGTGTGTGTGTGTGTGTGTGTATGTATGGATGTGCGGTAAAATAAGGCAGTGACTAATATGTTTGTCAGCATGAGACAGCGAGAGACAGCACTTTCTCGACTCCCACTTTGGATAGTTTACAAGAAAATCTGTCTTATATTTCTCAATCCTCACCATCAGCCCACCCTGCAGCACTCAACCGGTGTATCCTGACTGATCATGCAATGTGTTCCCTCTCTCTTTCTTTCTCTGAGTCTCAGTGAGTCACTCGCTCTCCCTCTCTCTGTCTCCATATGTTGCTGTGGGAACTGGGAAGCCTTCAAACACGAGGAAGAAGAGACGGGGAGACAAAGTGGGAGAGAGAAGAGTGAGAGAAAGAGTGAGGTAAACTGTAGAGATGGGGAGAGGAAAGAGGTAGAGATAGGGATGGCGTAGGCTGCTGCCATAGAGCGAAGTGAGGAATGGCCTCAGCTCTGACAGATGCAGTAACATGTAATGCTTATCTCCCACCCCCCCTGCCCTGCCTGTACAGCTAATCAATGACCACAAGGATGCACACACACACACTACATATTATAAGGGCCTTTCTATTGACTGTGTAGGAGTGAACGCACACAGAATGCCAACGAGGAGCCACGACATGTCTGCAGATGGGCTGACTTGAGGTCTGATCTCAGCCAGGTGTGAATGTGTTGTCTACAACCAACACATCTGTTAAAGGTCACACCAAGGGTTTATGGAGAGAGGTCTAGGTAACACGCTGACTAAGGATAAGCACTTCATACAGTCATTCTTCAAAACATCCCTTTTATCTGCTTATTATTGCTTTCTTAAGCAACGAGGCAAAAATAAATTGACCCCTTTCCTCATTAAAGGACAATAATCTACTTGATTTACATTCTTCTCTACAGAGTTTTGATCCTACATAGAAGAAAACAAAATAATGAGAATGCTTTTTCAACCTGCTGTGACAGCAAAGGCCTTCTTTGTGATCGAATGTCAATATGCAGATAACATATCAGACTGCAATGCAAGGTGTAAATGAGGTCTAATCTTTTAAAACTCACTCATAACCTTTGCACTATTTACTTCATTATTCTATCATGTCTTAAGTGTATTGAATATTACAGTGTGTGAGACCAGTGTGTGAGGCCTTGGACCAAAGGTTTTGATTGCCAAGCACTTCTCTGTGCATATTGCTATATTGACTACATAATATTGACAGTAAAGCCTTTGAATGTTATCCTTTCAACTGGTAATCACTTTTATGGATGAGAAAAACACATGTAACATTCTAATAAAGGATAATATACTGCAATACTTCATCCTTTCCTTTCTAGCCCTATTTGTGATGCTGTTTTTTAAAATATATTTCTTGTTTATGTACAGAGCAATTTGAGATGCTAAGGCTCTGCAAGTTACAATACAAGTAATTTATGATAAAACCTTTCAGCTCCATCAAAAACAAATCCCAGAGCTCATAATGACATCAATAGAGCACACCTGGTCTATGTAATGCAAGTACACAAGGGAAACACTACTCACATATTACTGATGATGAATCAATACAGAAAAGCAACTGATGTGTGTGGGAGCCTCTTTCTCTTTATTTTATTTCCCCCCTTAGTATTGTGTCTTGAAATGTGGTGCTCTTCCAAAACATACTAAATTGTATGGAGGATAAAAATGATTTAACAAACAAAAATGTTCCAACAATAAAATATAGAAACATAAATACATGTTTTAATTGAAATCAGAAACGTAAACCGAGTTTTCTACTGGAACTAATTCTAGCTTCTTTTTAAATCCTTACCCATATTTCAAACATTTCTCTGTGAAGTGTGGGGGCTAAATATGTAAAGATCCTCAAGCATAGAAAACAACAGCACATAAAGTGTCACACATACAAACAAATAAACGTCTACATACTGGAGCTTAATGTTCAGCCACAGATGAACACATTCACACACACTGCCTTGAACTCAGGTTGTTAAACCTCCGCCTCTCAGCCATGTCGCCGCGCCTTATCTCAGAGTAATGTGAAATATATCGGGGGGGAGGGGGACAGAGATGGAGGGGAGGAGAGGGGGATAATATAGAAGAGGGATTTATCTCTTACTAAGACAACAGGAAGAACTTTCAATGAGCTGAAACAGAATTGGTCTTGTATGCATTGGGCCCGCCCTAACACACAGTAAATGTGTCTCTCCCTTTTTAAGGTAAGCCCATAGTTAATATCCTTATTAGAGGAAATCTCTTTTGGATTGAATCCAGGAAGAGTAATGAGTATATTTAGAGAATAAGAAATATATTAACACATTTTACTGAAGGTAGGATCTGTGTGACATGATGCGGTAAGTTACAAAATATAGTTTCTGTATAAGGGGCGGGATATATACACAGCAAAAGCACATGAATTGGGTGACTCCTCCATGTTGACAGCATATCATTTTCCCTTTATCCTTATATCACACACACACACACACACACACACACACACACACACACACACACACACACACACACACACACACACACACACACACACACACACACACACACACACACACACACACACACACACACACACACACACACACACACACACACACACACACACACACACACACACACACACACACACACACACACACACACACACACACACACACACACACACACAGAGCATGTGTTTTCTGAAGGACAAACATTTCATCTCTCCTGGGCTCCCCTACCTTGCAGTTTCAGCACAACTGTCAGCCTCACTGAATGTGTGTGTGTGTGTGTGTGTGTTACTCCATACTATATAATGCAGTCTGAAGCACTATAGTACCTGTCTCTTATGTGTGTCCTTCCCAGTATAGCTGGTTGGTAGGCTATGAAGACGCTTTAACCTTGCCTCCACATGTTGCTGATGAGTATGTTACCATAGCACTGCATCCAATTTCTAGTTTCTGATGTATGGCGGGAATATGCGTGTTCAGTGAGGCGATTTGCTTGAGATGCAATTTACGTGACAGCGCCTATACATCTAGGGGCAGTTTGATCGATATCTGGGGTGTTTTCCTTTTGTTAACAGCTCTATATCTTAGAGTAAATACAAATGACAGGCAGTTATATTCTACATAAAGCCAGATGTTGGCAATAAGGGCTCTTGCACGCAGGGTGGGACTTTATATAAGAAATACCATTACTTCAAAGATAAATGCGTTGTTCAGAACGTCTTAAGGATTAAGAGTTTGAGATTTGTTTTCGTCCCCTATAGTTTTTGTTTTCATGTACAATATATATAAATCTAAGACAATTATTATATGTTGCTTTGGTTATTTTCAAAATGTGCGAATGTCCCCATTAATGAATTAAGAAAATTATAAATGACAGTAGAATGCAATCGTTCAAATAAGGTTGGTAAATGATCAGCTAAAGAAAATGATGCTACAGTGGCAATATACTGACAGTATGAGAGCCAAGATGATATTTTGTCAGCTATAGTTAAGTTACATTTTAAAAGACGACTGGTCCTTGAAGAATATTAAAATCACTGTGCTGGTGCAACAATTTCCACAGTTGATAATTCACTCATATTCTTTGAACATTTGCTCAATTTCATGATGAAATAAAACACAATTCCGGGTATCTCAGATGCTGTGATGTCTGAATGGTTTAACATCTTACCTCGCCTTCTCTGTGCCACGGCCTCCCGTTCTGAGGGTACTTGCTCTGGCTCTGGCGTTTCTTCTGCCCTCCGTCGGCAAATTTGCACAGCAAAGGCTCCAAGGGAGCTGCAGAGAGATAGAAAGAGGAGGGAGGGGGAGGAAAAAATCAGGTTAGAAGAACTTCATCCTGTGACCCGTCAGAAGGACATGAGTCCTTTTGAACATGTTGCATGTATCTTCTTCTACCATCGTTTCTGTGTCTCTCCCTCCTCCCTCCCTCCTCTCTGCCCTCCTATGGAGCTCCAAGAAAAATTCCCAGACTGACGTTGTTGGCAGGCGCTCTCCACCCTGGCCCAGGCTGGCAGCCCATGAAAGAGCATCGCAGGGTATTGTTGAAATAATAATCACAGTAATCGCTCTTGTAAATACCTCGGAGATGGTAAAGCAGCACCGCTCTGTGAGCCAAAGCATTTTTTCAAGAAGGCGTTCCTGTTCATGATGAGTAATCCCTGCTCATTTCACTTTAACAGGCATATTCTCCTTTATTTAAAATGTTATGCCTTTTTTCACTCCACAACAGTCTCACCGGGCTCTGTTGTTTGAGCAGAGGGTGTCATAGATATTAAGATGCTGTTGAAGTGAACACCAGGGGCACTGGCATTCTGAGACGATGATAACAAACAAAAAAATAGAGGATTGACACAAGTGCCCTCGCTACAGAGCTGACAAATGTCTATCATCAACCAGCAGGAAAACATGAAATGAAATAGCTGTTATTAATCTAATTCAAAAGATAGAAAAAAAGACCCCCCTGTCTCTGTATCAACAGCCTTTTGTATGCATAATTGCTGATGAAAGGTTGATGAGAGTGTTGCAATGACCTACGCTGCTATAAAGATAACTTCTCAAAGGGCATTTTCTCACACTTGAGCTGCAGGTGAGCACCGACAGGCACCAAATTAATTCAGGAAGAGGACTCTTCTGTTGAGATGCTGTAGAGGCAGAGACAATCTGAAGAAAGTCAGGCTCAAAGAAACAAAGGAAAAAGAAGTAAGAGGAAATTTGCTCTTGGTGAGCTTTTCTCATGAGAAACGGGTGGCTCTCTTGGCTGGGGATCTGGGGGTCTTAACAGTGTCCGTCCCCTTTTCAGTGTGCGTCAGCGAGATTGGAATCTCTTTGGAAACAGACTGGGGAGAGGGGAATGGAGACAGTTGGAATAATAAAAAAATAAAACACACACACACACAAAATGGGAGTCAGATAAGAGAAACAGGTGAGTGACCGTGGGAGAAACAAGAAGGAAACAGAGGCTGAGAGACGATCTACACCTGGATCAAACGCTGGCTCTATGTAAAGGCTGTACAGTTCAGTACTAGTACAGCACACACTAAGCCAGCAATCTTGTCCAAACACTGAACCGCCGCTGCCCTGCACCTGGTGGCTTGGAAAGGACCTGACGGCTCTCCTGTCAGCGCCTTCACATTATAGGCCTGGCAGCTCGTGGCACGGCCACTCTGTGACGACACGGGCCAATGACGGGGCTGTCTGCAGGAGGTGAGCAACGGGACCTTTCATCACATAGATGACACCCACCGAGAGAATTGTTGATGCTTTAATCTCCGCTCCCAGATGTTGGAGGCGCTTGGGCCTTGATAAGCAGCATCACAAGGCTGGGAATAAGGGAATAAAGAAATGCTGCCAGGATTGACAAGGTAGTGACAGCAATAAAACTACCTGAAGTGAGGCAACCGGGGAGTTTTTTAGTTGAAATAAATTATTTGAGTATGAATTTTTTATTCTAATAATTTACATGTCAATTTTGGGGGAATTGTTTGTTTGTTTGTTTACAGTATTGCTATGCATTTACAAAACGGTGTGTGTGCGGCTTAGGGCCACACACGTTCAAACCAACTTCTCTAGAAAATAAGAAAACTTAATGTGTTTACGTGGCTTTAGGGCCTACTATGGGACCACACTTTTCACAGTCAGCCCAGGAGAATGTTGCCGGGAAGGGACAGTGAGAGAAACGCAGCAGAAGAAAAACAACAAAAGCCCCACCAAACCTCTCCTCTGGCACTGTGGGAGATAATTAGCTATCGGAGACATTTGGAGAATCTGACACAGAGCACGCTGACGTTACCCATGTGACTACATCCCAAGTTCCCACAGAGAGTTAGCCAATTTGTTTAAGACTCCGGCCCAAGATCAACAGCCTCACACCACCCCACCCACCCTGTGATCACACAGACGCCTCTGTAGCTCTGACACACACACAACCTTCTTTTGCCCCTAAAGTTTATCTGCTACAACACACAACCCTCAAAAACACAAAACAAACTGCTGCCAGCCTAAAAATCTAAAGACCTCTCACCGCACACCATCATCACTGGCACAGCCCAGAATAAACTAGGCCACTGATTTTTAATGCTAGCTTGCTGACGCTAAGCTTTAGGTCACAGGCTGGAGTATTTGTTGTAGGTGGCCACTTAAAATGGTTTGGTTATGAACCATTTGCTGCCCTCTAATGATCCTTAATCATGGGAAAAAAATACAAAAAATGATTTTGGACAGGGTGAACAACTGCTGCTAACAAGGTGCTCCGTGGAGGCTCCTAATTATATTTGATGTGTGTTACTGTAGGAACTGGTAAACACTTTAACGAGTGGTGACCGCAGACTTGTGCACATTTAACACCAGCCACGCTCACATGTACACCAAAGCAATAGGAGCATGGCTCAACAGTTCAGTGAGAGTAAGATGTCTGCGCTGCTAGCATCATTGGATCGCAGCCTCGGCTCAATCGCACTTCAGATTGTGCATCTGGCTCTGAACAGATAGTCATGGCTCTCTGCTCATCAATAGGCACATTGCCAACCAGTCAAATCAACCAATGAGTACGCAGATGTACGTCTGTATGAGACAGAGCAATAACAATGCTTGTTGCAAGTATTAGCGCAGCATTGCCTAAGTAATTATTGCTGTTCATGTTGTTTCCTATGTGCGGGCATCTGGGGGAAACCAGTCTGTTGTCTGCAGAGTAACAGCAGATCTAACCATTGCTTTTCCTTCTACTATCTACTTCAGCGTTCAGTTATTATGCTCCAAATATCTGGAACAAACTCCCAGAAACCTGCAGGTCCGCTGCAACTCTTACTACTTTTAAATCCAGGCTGAAGACTTATCTTTTTGTCGCTGCTTTTAATTGAAACTGAGCCGTTGTGTTCATCAGTAAAGTGGAACTTCTGTGTGAACTATTCATATCTTAAACTGCACTGTAACTTTTTATTCATGTACTTTTTTATTCATGTACTTTTTATTCATGTATTTTTTCTTTTATTATCTTTTACTGTTTTGAAATGCCTTTGTCTGAATATCTTTCATTTTTGTAAAGCACCTTGAATTGCCTTGTGTTGAAAGGTGCTATATAAATAAACTTGCCTTGCCTTGCCTTGCCTTACTATCTGCAGACAAATAGTGTTTGAGCGTGCTCTGGATGGTGCTCTGGATAGTCTTGCAAGCCAGCTGAATATCATCTTGATCCATGAATGCAAATCAGCATGTGCATTATAACACATAAATATCAGCATGTCATACATTTGTCCGCTGATCAGAATTGGACTGCATGTCTGTTCGGCCTGAAATCAATGCAGTAATTTCCCTGAGCTGCAGAAGGACTGGGTAAAAAGGATTTGCTCAGTGAAATAGCTTTTAGCCATCCAGACAGTTAGAACAGAGGCTTCTCACAAGAGCTCCAGAGGCAGACTAGACTGCGCCTTTGCTCTTGGTATGTGCAAAGTCCTAAAGAGGCCTGACAGAAGGAAGTGCTCAGCCACTTGTACCAAAAGCAGTCAGTCAGCGAAAGGAAGCTTTGCACTTCTTAAGAACAAAGTCGAGTTAAAGGTTCCTACAGGTTTTTGGCTTGAGGTTCCATGAGCTAAGCGGTCAGATGGTTCAGCTGTGTTTGACTGCAAGGACATATTTGAGGGAAAATGGAAAAGGAGAAAAATTAGGAAAGTATTTGTATTGGAATCCTGCTTTACTCTGACACTGCTCGAGGGGAGCTCTAATTGGATCAACAACTGTCTGATTCCCATCAGCTAGCTTGACCTGTCTGCCCAGACAGAGGAGGCTGAGTCTTATGGGAAGGAGAGAAAAGAGAAGGAGGGAGAGAATGAGAGGCACGGAAAGACACATGAGGAGGGAGGGAGCACAAGGGACATCGTGCTAGAAATAGACACAGATTTAGTAGTCCTGATAGAACATATGACAGGTGAGAGGGACAAATGAGAAAGGACGTGGACAAGAATGGAGCAGCATATATGTCGCCATTTTCAGGGTGAAATGGGCAAGCTCAGAATGGCCGCCAACCAGGAAGGCAGGCAGCTTCCCTACAGGGAGGGCTTTGATAGATTCCAGTCAATAGCTCTCACAACTGCCACGCTGGCCTCGCATCTTTCAGCGCGGAAATGAAGACAGTCTGCCAGCCGTTTTGCTGACAGGGACGGCACACATGGCTCAATGACACGGCCCGACAAATGGAGAGGGCACTGAGCGGGAGAGAGAGAGACAAAGAGGGAGAAGGAGAGGGAGATAGATGGAAAGACGGGTACAGTGTCATAAAGAGTCAAAAAGACATGGAAGGGAAGAGACGGAGATACTTTCAATGGTAGGAGTGACAGGTGCAGTCCACTCCCCACCCCCGCCGTGCAATCCATACTTTATAGATGAGTGAGATTAGTATAGGGAGGAGGATGTCAACAAAGCCCTGCTTCTCACTCTGCATCCGATACACATGCTCTATGGCTATTGATTAGCCCTTGCTCAGACTTTCCCATAGAGGGCCCCTGCAGCTGGCACAGGCCTGAGATCATATTATGGATTACGGGAAGGGAAGTGGAGGGAAGAGCCCTGGATGCAGGCGGTAGAAGCCTGATCGATGAGCTATTGCGCACTTAACAAGAGTAATGTTTTGTAGGGAGTCTCTGACATGCTAATCCATCTCTCACTCCTCTCCGTACGTCTACCTCCATTGCATCACTCTCGGCGGTTATCCATCTATCTATCCATCCATCCATCTGTCTCTTCATGAACCGCTGAGCAGACTGAGCCCAAACCAGGTTTAGACA